AGCATGGCAGCCCCAGTACTAATAGCTGTTAGCGACTCATTTATTGCGGCTATGTCTTCATTGAGGAGCTCTATCTGGCGTCCAGTCCAGGAAGTGCTCGCGGCAGAGTTTTGAGCTCTCCCACACATGTGAGGAAGCTCTTATGGCTGCGGGTATGAGCACCCGGTGAAGCGGGGACTCCACGGACGAGAATGCGAGGAACCGATGCCAATCCGTGCTAGATAGACGGAATAACTCCCGTCGTTGTACGGTGGAGCCAGCCTGCTCGGTGAGCTCTCGTCCGTAGATGAACCCGGCCACGTGGGATGAATGGGCCGCCTGGAGATCGGCGATCCGGCCGAGGACACTGTCAAAGCCGGTCGAGTCCTGGTCGACGTCGTCCACGTCCTCGTCTGCGTCGGTCCCTTCGTACGAGTTCTGTGGAAAGGCGCTCGGCGTACGGAGGAAGCGGCGGCTGATCCCGATGGCGATATCCCGATACGAGTGGATATTCAGTGTGTGGCCATGGAGACCAATTGCACTCTCGGAACGCAGAGCCTCGCGGAATCGAGGGGACGACCAGGCCCGGCCGGTGCCTGGGTCGGGGGCCCAGATATATGCTTCCACCGTACGGGGCACGGGTGGGGTTAGTGGCGGGATCAAAACCTGCAGCCGCTCGATGAAGGGAAGGACTAGCCAGAGATACCGTACGAGTAACTCGCCCACTTCGCGGGGGAGATACCGGTGGATCAGCTTGGTATAGTTCCGGGCGTAGAAGGCTTTGTGGTAGCTGGTCGCAACCACAACGAGCCCGTCCTCGATGAAGACGTTGCGGTGAGCGGTCTCCGTATTACGGTGTCGTACGGAGAGAAGCTCGGGCGCCCGGCCAGGCTGCCCGGCAGTGATATGGACCGCCACACTAAGCTTTTCCCGGAAACGCACCACCGCGCGAAGATAGCTCCGGATCGTGGTCGTACGGAACCGGCCCTGCTGTGGATCGAGGAAGAGCCGCTGCAGTTTGGCTTCTCTCGACACCCGCGTCATCATCCACTCGGACCCGGCCACCGGCAACCTCGTACGAGGGTTATCGAGAAAGCTCCAGCCCGGCTGGCCTTAGCATCTGCTTCCAGAAAATGAGTTCTCAAAATACTCGTTGAACATAAACCGCCCATTGCGTAATCCCTGAGGCCAACGCCATCGTTGACATCTTTCCAGCTGCTAGATCGATCTAGTAGACGTATCGGTCAATGCAAAGTGCCTTGGATTCGGTGACTTTGGATGGTCGTTGTGACACTGGGGTTTTCCACGGTGATGTAGGAAAGTGGGATGCGTAAAATGCGGGTAGTGCACGGGCACTAGCTCGTGTGAATGCTGGCAATATCGGAAGATGATATCGTAAAGTGGTGAGGCGACATCGGTCTTTCACGATCAGAGCCTGAAACGCAGATGGGAGGGAACAGGCTTACCATCCGGCGTGCAGCTCGTACTGAAGACCAGATACGTGAAGGACAGGATTAGAGAAGCGGCCATCCCCGTGGTAGCAACAGAAAGGATGGGATTATGAGGCGATGTCCCCATGAAAAACTGTCGCCTCACATTCGTCTCCGACAACCGAGACTTGGAGACAATACCTAACAAACTCAAACTATTTATCCATGAATTAGCATTTGGTATCGGGATATAGGTGAAAGAGATGAACTCCACTTGACGAGCTCGTACCCGGTGGTAAAATCCGGGGAGCAGAACGGGGAGCAGAACTTATAGCAACGACACCTGTATGTCATATTGTTAGCAATCAGAATTGAAGACTAAATCAGAGCAATAAGTGTCACAGGGCAGCCAACCCCTCGAGAACCAACCTTCGCACTACGGAAACCCCACTACCGTCTTCACCAGAAGCACCAGCAGAAAGCTCCCCCAAACATAGTCCGAGTTCGCTCATTTTGGCTAGCTGCTGAGCTCTAAATCTGGCTCCGGCAAAGGCACCAGCACAAGAGGCACCCAGGGACCCTATCAGAATCAACAGTCAGCTGAGTTCAATCCAAATGAAGTAAAACAGATTTCAAGGTAAGGCATGTGAAGTAAGGAACAAGTGAGAAGAAGGTGAAGTCAAGAAGGGCCGGAAGAAGTAAGAATAAAATGGAAGTGACTTACCAACGTCGTCGGCGCGACAGAAGACTCGGAGCATCACCACAGATCAAGATTGGGGCGGGGCTAGGCATGCCCCGGCGCGCCGCAATCGAGCCCATGAACGCGCGAGCCTCCTGCCGCTGACGGTGTGCCTCGTACCCTGGGATCTGCTGGTAACCTGGAGGAATCACCGGAGTCCCAGTGGCGGCAATCCGGGGAGACGCAGCCTGACAGCTGGCCCCGTAGAGAGAGGAGGTACTGGTCTCGGGGGCGGCACGTACCACATCCGTGGAACGGCTGCTTGGAGGTCCATTCTCCATGGACCAATGGTAGGATATGGGGACCATCCCAAAGGCATCCATTTTGGTAGCGTTGTTTGCGGTATCGAATTGCCTCTGTAGGAAATGAAAACGAATGCAAACGTTAGTAGAGAAGAGAGAAAGAGAAGAAGAGAGAGAAATTGGTTTGGATTGTTTATATAGTCCCCAGCCAGCCCGAAAAGGAAGGGTCGACCGGCATCAAAGGTGGCGGCCATGTATACAAAACTGGCATTGAATTGGGGCCGTCCCTGCTATCTTAGGCATGAGAGGGACCATTAAGCACCTACCTACCTAGGTAGATAGGCAGTATTGTTTTGTTATATAAGGTGCTCAATTTATTCCAGTAAGGCTGGCCGTGCGGCAGTTTGATCAAATTTTGAGTACAATAAACAATCGGCCTCAGCCCTAGAGGGTAATTCACTCTTTCTCTAGAGCGTTGTTGACAAGACGTTCAAGCTTGTTCCACTCAGCAGAGAGGACAGCCTTGGTTTTGCTAGGATCAAGGCCATTGGCCTTGAACTCATTATGAACCTGTACAAACTGGTTTCCCACAAGCTTCCTAAAGCTGGGCACGGTGCAGCTCTCCGCCTGCGTGCTAGTAAGTTCAGCAAGAATGTACCAAATCAAGTAGTGGAAATTCAGCTTGAAGTCATGAATCTGGACAGGGTCTTTGGGGTCAGGCTGGAAGCCCTCTTGGGAAATGAAGACAGTGAGCCTGACCAGGCTCCATGCATGGATGTGTCGGATGGGATGGGCCTTGTCATAGACAACAGGATCAATTCGCAGGTATCGAATGGCGGCGTGGATAAATGCCCGGGTGAAGTTACCAGCCGTTAGCAGAGATATAATCAGTTTGTCGCGGAGAGAAGCATATGGCTGACGGGTGAGAGGCCATAGGGCGGTTTCATGGAGCTTGTGCATAGCAGCTTCCAGCTTCTCGATTGCGTCTGCTGGCTCCGTGCTGGTTGCAGTTGCTTTCTGCATCAGTTCTAGGGCTTCACGCTCTGCTGTCTCTAGGGGCGTCATGTCTTTAGGTGTAGACAAGAACCGGTCTTCAAGGGTTTCCGCTCTCATCTGGCATTTTGTGCACTGGCAGTCGAAGAAGTAGCGTTCTTTCAGTTCGTTGCGGCGAATGTCATATGGTGTCGTGGTGTCGATATAGGAGATGAAGATTTGCTCGCCCTTTTTGATGGGACGCATAGCCTTGACGTACAGTTCTTCACCGTCAAACCCAACGGTGGAGTTATACTCGCAGCTGTGGTTAATCAACCCGGCGTATGGATGCATGTAGAGGCCAATGCGGTCATACATGGAGGTGGTAAGGTTGAAAGAGTTGAGATCCAGCTATAAGTGATAGTTAGAAGGAAAGTCCGCGATATAAGATATGTAAGGCCGAAAAACAATTACCTTCGCAGCATAAGAAGCGACAGTTCCTTCATCCATGTCCGTCCCTGAGTAATTCTTGACAGCTCTTGCCGTTAAGTTAATCCTATCAAGCTGGCCTTGGCTCTCCGAGATATCATTGATGTGAGTCTCCAAGCCATCAAAGACCTTGGATTCTTCAGAATCGTACTTTTTACGCGCTGTGCGTAGCACTACGCGTAGGAGAGCACGGGCATTGTTGGGAAGAACCATAGGCTTGACATTTTTGAAGATGGGGCACTCAAGAGAATGCGCGAACTTCCAGTCCTTAGATTGACACACCTAGTTATCAAGTATTAGAAGATCAAACCGGACATAATTTTAGGTAGGACGAGAAATATGAGTAAGACAGCAAACGATCTATCCCCATAGCAACTCACACGATCACAATACTTCACGACCCGACATCCTGTGCAGGCCTTCAACTCATTTCCAGTTTCCACCTGTCTCTTTCCAAAGCAACCAGCACATGTGTCCTCTAACCGTGGAGAATCTAGAACTGCCACAAATGGTGTTTTGATGTGCAAAACATCTTCACCTGGGTTGATGTCGGTTGTCGCAAACAGGCCGTTCCCCATGCCATTGGGGGCAGGCTGTGGGACGGTCCTGGTCGTCACCGAAGGTAATGCAGTTCTTGATGCCATCGTGGGTGATCTGAATATAGGAATAGGAATTGTTCGAAGATATAATAATCAGAGTGGATAGTCCTCCACGTAGGGCGGTGAATATTCGTCATTGTATTCGAATCTCTTGGCATTGATGGAGAGAAGATAGAATCTCCCATATCCCCCAACAAAAGAGCAGTCTCATGAGGAGATCTTGAAATTTCTCTCGGCTCAAATAATTACCGATTAAGTTTTATTTGGCAGGCATTTTTATTGTCACATCGGTTACTACCATCCTACATTATAAAAGTCAAGCCCAGAGATGAGGGCAGAGAGAAAAAGACCTGAAAATCCTCCCAAGCAGAAGTCCGTACTTGATCAAAATTCAAAGATTTGTAGCCAAGAAAGCATCAAATTTGAGACACCATTTGGCTAAAATATTAGGTTTGTATATGACATATGTAGCTCATTCAAAGGGCATAGACCAGGAGACTCAAGTCCCAACCAAGTAAACGTCAGGCATGAAAAGAACCAAACTGAAGACCTAGAGCATAGCCGCAAAAGCAGCAACAGCAGCAGCAGCACCCAACGGCGCAGCAGTGATTAAGGGCTTCGCCGCAGCCGCAGCACCACCAGTAGAAGCAGTAGGAGTGATCTTCACCGGCGAAGTCGAAGCCGTCGCATTAGCCTTGAAAGCGTAGACGCCATCAGTGATGGTAAGAGGGTGATAAGTAACCGAATGGGACGGGATAGTCTGAGTACTAGAGCTGGATTCGGAGACGGTGAGATCATCCTTAATGCCAGTGTATGCAAGACTCCACGTGCAGACAGCAGATTCAGAAACGCGGGTGAAACTGCATGACTCAACGGCGGTTGCTTTGCCTGTACCGCCACCGGTAACCACAGTTACTTCGAGGGAGATGCTGAAAGTAGTATCGCCCTGAATCATGGTTGCGGGATGGTTCAATGCGCACTTGGCTGCGCCTTCCATGCAGGCGATCTCATAGGTCGTGGCGTACTTGTCGATGCCAACAACTCGCGCTGCGGTGCTGGAGTAGGCGCCGATATTGACACCGGAATCATTGTCTCCGAAATAGCTGATGGTTGTTGTGCCGGGTTCGTCAGCTGCGGCCAGAGCCACTAGGGCAGAAAGGAGGAACCAGGACGAGTGCATCTTGTAAGACTCGAAGACAAGGGGTTTTGAGGTTGTAGCAACGGATAGAGTTGGGCTTGGGTAGAAGAAAAGAAGCCAGGAAACAGGGGGGGAAAAAACCAGAATGACTGTTATGTTGCCTTATAACTAGCGTGCCCAATCGGCTCCGGAGGTCCGCAAGCCAAGCATCGTTTGTATACTAGCGCTAGACTATAACGCACTAAAGACTCGGCCTTAGCGCAGACAGGTAATTTGGTTTAGGGCCGTCATGAAAAACCAAAGATAAGGTCGTGTAGACCTTGGTCTAGGATTGTGACCTGTAAGCATCAGTCAAGACCTACCTAGGTAGGCTATCTAGGTTGAAGTGGAAGTTAAAGGTAAGGAAAAAACAAGAAGCCAGAAATTACGATGATTAGCCGCAGGGGCAGAAATTGCAGTCATACGACGGGGCACTTCCAAGTGAGACATCATGATCTTCTAATTGGTGCCCACAGGAGGCTCAAGCCCCTCGTAGCCCTAAGAACGGATATTGTCGCTGAGCCGGAAATAAATAATAGTACGGACTACAGCTGAATATATGCACAGCTACGGAGCATAGGGAAAAAGGGATCTCAAAGGTCAAATTCGCATAAGATCAGGGGCATATGAGCGCTACGTCTGATTCGCCGTAGAGTGGAGAGTAGAGACGAGGAACAATTCAACAATTCATAAGGAAAAGACAACATTCCAATCCGAGAATACAATAATTAAAACGGCCGAAAAGACAATGCACGCCATCTATCAACAATATTGCCCTGCCCACTACACCGTACAGGAGGTTTAGGTCCTGTCCTATAATGGAAAATCATGATGGGAGGACCTAGGGAGGTCATAGGGGGCATCGAGGGGTAAGAGAGAGATGTTGACTTCGCGTCTCTCTTTATCTCGACATTGTGGGGCTTTTTTTCTTTCTCTTCTTCTGTCACTTTGTGCAAAAATAGAGAGTTACAGTGCCTTGCCGCCGACGAAGTTGGACCAGGTGCGGACCTCGGAGGGGATTCCCTCGCCGCGGGGCAGCTTCTCGTTCATGCATTGAGCGAAGAGCTGGGCAGTCTGCAGAGAGGATCAATTAGCAACTTTAATCATTTACGGGTATCAGCACTTTAAACATACCTTAGGCTCCATGAAGAGAGGCACGCTGAAATCGACAGCATTGCGACGCATAACATAGTCCTCATCAAGCTGGGTCTTGCCACGGGTCTTGGCAAGGTTGAAGCAGCCACGGATGTCGTACTTCTGGAACACCTCACGGAGAGCACGCTTGTCCTTCTTGGGGAACTCAATCAGCTGCACGGAGACGTTGTCCTTGGCGGTGGACTCGAGGTGAGCCTGGACGGCGGGGTTGACAGCAAAGAACTTGTAGCCAAGAGGGTTCAGGTAGTCGACGACCTTGGTCAGGTAGGGCTGAGTGATATCACCGCCGAGCAAGATACCCTCACCGGGCTCAGGCATGCGGAAGTTCATGGTGGACTGGAGGGAAGCCCAGTAGGCCTCGACCAGGTCCTTACCGAAGCAAGCAATCTCACCGGTGGAGGACATCTCGACGCCCAGGAACGGGTCGGCACCAGCCAGACGGGTCCAGGAGAACTGGGGAACCTTGGTGGCGAGGTAGTCACGCTCCACCTTCATGAGGTCGACGGGCTCCGGAACATCACGGCCGACGAGAGCCTTGGTGGCGACGTCGATGAAGTTGGTACCCAGGACCTTGCTGACGAAGGGGAAAGAGCGGGAGGCGCGCAGGTTGCACTCGATAACCTTGAGAGCGGGCTCGGCACCCTCCTGGTCGGCCTTGATGATCTGCATGTTGAAGGGACCAGTAATGTTCCAAGCCTTGGCGACTTTCTCGGCGATGTCCTTGACGCGGGCCATGATGGGCTCCTCGATGTTGGCGGGGGGCAGGACGAGGGTGGCATCACCGGAGTGAACACCAGCGGGCTCGACGTGCTCGGAAACGGCGTGGACAAGCAGTTTACCGTTGGAAGCCACGGCATCCACATCGATCTCCTCGGCACCCTCAATGAACTTAGTGATGACGACGGGGTGGTCTGGGGAAACGGCAGAGGCGTTCAGGAGCTTCTCCTTGAGCTCATCAACACCGTAGATGACGTTCATGGCGGCACCGGACAGGACGTAACTGGGGCGAACCAGGACGGGGTAACCAACAGCGTCGGCGAAGGCTTCGGCATCAGCGACAGAGGTCAGTTCCTTCCAGGCGGGCTGGTCGACACCAATGCTATCGAGGATAGAGGAGAACTTGTGACGGTCCTCGGCCTTGTCGATGTCCAGAGGGTTGGTACCCAGAATAGTAGCACCACCGGTCTCTTGCAGACGGAGGGCAATGTTCTGAGGCAGCTGACCACCGACAGAGACAACGACACCGCTAGCGGCCTCGAGCTCGTAGATATCCATGACACGCTCGTAGCTGAGCTCCTCGAAGTACAGCTTGTCAGCGGTATCGAAGTCAGTGGAGTAGGTCTCGGGGTTGTAGTTGATCATAACGGTCTTCTTGCCCATCTCGCGGAGGGAGAGAGTGGCGTTAACAGCGCACCAATCGAACTCAACGGAGCTACCAATACGGTACACACCGCTGCCCAGAATGATGGTCCCATGTTCATCGAAGGTAACATCGTGGGAGGAAGCGTTGTAGGTGGTGTAGAGGTAGTTAGTGTCGGCAGGGAACTCGGCAGCAAGGGTATCGATCTTCTTAACCCAAGGGGTGATGCCGAAGGACTTACGGCGGGCACGGACATCATCCTCGGTGGATCCAACGAGGAGAGAGATCTGCTTATCAGAGAAACCTAGCTTCTTGGCCTTCATCAGGATCTCCTGCTTGAGGCCGAAGAGGCTACCGATCTCCTTGAGCTCGTTGTTGCAGTCCACAATGTTCTGGATCTTGTACAAGAACCACTTGTCGATCTTTGTCAGTTCGTGGACCTTGTCAACCGAGTAGTTCTCGTGGAGCATAGCCTGTCCAACGGCCAACCAGCGACGGTCAGTGGGGTTGCGAAGAGTCTCATCGAGGTCATCGAACTTATCACCCTGGAGACCAAGGTATTGAGGGTCAACCTGACGGATGGCCTTCTGCAGGGACTCCTCCCAGGTACGACCAATAGCCATAACCTCACCAACCGACTTCATGGCGGAGCCAATGTCGCGGTTGACGTGCTGGAACTTGCTCAAATCCCAGCGGGGAATCTTGGTGACAATGTAGTCCAGACTGGGCTCAAAGTTGGCGGTGGTGGTCTTGGTAACGGCGTTAGGGAGCTCGGGGAGAGTGTGTCCCAGACCGATCTTAGCCGCGGTGTAAGCAAGCGGGTAACCGGTGGCCTTAGAAGCCAGAGCGGACGAACGCGAAAGACGAGCGTTGACCTCAATGACACGGTAGTCAAGTCCATCGGGTTGCAGAGCGTACTGGACATTGCACTCGCCAACGACGCCCAAGTGACGAACAATCTTAATGGCAGCAGTGCGGAGCATGTGGTACTCCTCGTCAGACAGAGTTTGACTAGGTGCAACAACGATACTGTCACCGGTGTGAATTCCAAGAGGGTCGAAGTTCTCCATGTTGCAAACGGTAATACAGTTGTTGGAAGCGTCACGGACAACCTCGTACTCAACCTCCTTCCAGCCCTTGAGCGACTTCTCGACCAAGATCTGGGGGGCAAGAGACAGAGAGCGCGAGGACAAGTCACGGAGCTCATCGGGGTTGGAAGCGAAGCCAGAACCCAGACCACCAAGGGCGTAAGCAGACCGGACAATGATGGGGTAGCCAACCTCCTCGGCAGCCTTGAGAGCGTCCTCGACAGTCTCAACGGCGGTCGATTCGGCAATAGGAATATCAATCTCGTTCAAGGCCTGGGCGAAGAGGTCACGGTCCTCACTGGTCTCCAGGGTCTTGATGGGGGTGCCGAGAACCTTGACACCGTAACGTTCGAAGGTGCCCATGCGGTTCATCTGCACACCCAGGTTCAGAGCGGTCTGACCACCGAAGGCGAGGAGAATACCATCGGGGCGCTCGCGCTCAATGACGTGGGTGACATATTCGGGGGTGACGGGGAGGTAGTAGACTTCGTCCGCAAGCTTGTGGTCGGTCTGGATGGTCGCAATGTTGGGGTTGATCAGGATTGAGTGGATGCTGGCTTCCTTGAGAGCTTTAAGAGCTTGAGAGCCTATTTGATCACACAGTCAAGAGTTTAGTTTCCATTGTCATCTGAATTGATGTTTAGGGGACATTTCTTAAGCTTTCTTAAGCTCTCTGTATTCTCCGCAGAAAAGCTTCCCGTGCAGACCAGACCCCCATAGGGGCCTGACGGGGGGATTTAACCGGCGCGAAATTCGACTCCAGGAGGTTCCAACTTACCGGAATAATCGAATTCTCCAGCCTGTCCAATGCTCAGACCACCACTACCAATGACGAGGACCTTCTTGACATCGACGAGGTTGCTACCGGTCGAGACCGCACCGCTAGCGAGGTAAGACTCGGCAGCCGGGGGCTTCTGGGCAGACAGGCGGTTCAAGGTGCTGGAGAAAGAACGGAGCTGCTGAGACCGAGCCGTGGGAATCTTCTGCAGGCGTAGAGTCGAGGCCGTGGAACGGACGGACTGAGATGAGAATGCGCGCAAAGAGAGTGCCGGGCGGGTTTCAGCAATGCAGCGCTGGCGCAGCAGGGCGGCCGCCTGCCCACATCGAGCAGCAAGGACCATTGCGCACCGAAGGTAATGTTTCAATTGCTGAGAGATGTGTTGAGGATGAGTCTACGCTTTGCTGGGATTCTTTTTTTTCCGCCGCGAAGTCGCTAATTGGCCCGCTCCCTTCACCGTATACGGCTCCACTTTTGAGAACGAGAGAAAGCCGGGGGAATTGGGGATTTTAGGTATATACCTAGGTAGATTGGAGGATCTAATAATGAATGTTAATAATTTAAAGAAGATATTGAGTTGTTCCTGTGTTTCGTTCTTTCCTCCTTTTTTTCCTATTATAATTTCTTTTTTTTTTCCAGTTGACAGCGATGAGTCAAAAACCTGGATGTGGAGACGAGGATCTCTCGGCAAATATCTTTCTTATGTATACTAAAACCTATGCGCATTTGCGTACTCAATAGAGCCTAGATAATTCTTTATGATATATCTACATTGTCATTCGTATAGAAGCTATATAGTGTATGATGGGCAATTATTGGGAGCTTCCAGCAAGAACATCATACATTACGCGGTGATAATCTTCCCGTGGACAATGCCGATGCCGGACCCCAACGCTATCTCTTATCTCTCGATTTCGAGTTACAAGTTTTTACATTAGAACCCTAATTGACGGTAAATTGGCTACCGAAATTGGCTAGTGCGAACCTTAGACGCCGATTTAGCTCCCTTTGTATCAAATCTTGCTTATTCCAACGTCACGTGCCAGTGATGTATATTTGATCTCTGTGCTCGGTGAGCACCTGGGCACTTAGGGCTGCTAAGTGATCGCCTGGCCCTTCACTCAGTATTAACAGGGTAAAGTATTGATTGAAATACGTAGTCACATCCTTTGCTCGGTTTTTACCCGCTTGTAAGATCCCATCTAGTATCTGTAGAGTACTTGTCAGGACCCCAGCACTGAAGGCGTTGGTGTCCGGGGATAGGAGGATATAGACATTCATTAAATGCAACCGTCATGAAATTTAAGTTCATCCAACTGACCGGCTAAGGTAGTGTTCATTATAGTATACATGGAGGATTTCAAAGGTTGAAAATATGTCGTCAGCTAGGATTGGGAGATAAGGCAGACAACATAGAATTGGGGGCCTTCCTAGAGTCAGTCCCTAACGCTGTAGTTGGATATGAAGAGAGATAAGATGCGTACTAATCATATACGCAGGAAACCCCCATAATCGAGACTTACAGCAGTGTCCTTTGGTAACTCACTGCATGCATCAGAAGAGAGAGCAATTTGGCTTGGTTCTACTAGTGGCAGGCAACCACGAAAGGTTGGATAAAAATATGAGGCTACGAACTGGCGAAGTTTGTCTGACCGCAGCCTAACATGCACAATATAGGACAAAGAGAAGTGGTACCTACACATGTAGGAGATCCATAACAGGACTGCATTCTCAGGTTAGGCCGAAACTTTCTCCGCTTGTTTCTCTTGTTGCTGCGTCTCTGTTATAGGTATCGTAGGGGTTTATGTTTTCGGTTTGATGCCCGGTAAATAATAAACAAGAAGAAAAGCACGAGTACAGAATAAAGGTTGAAAGGATAATAGCGGCATGAAGCGGCATGACAATATTGAAAAAAGATAGAATGAACCGCGACGTAAGGAGATCAAGAAGACAAAGCACAATTAGAATCAAAATCGCCAAATATGGGATAGATAGGACTAGAAATGGAGACGTCCAAGGCCGGATAATGATAAAACCCCATCTTTTGTAACACGTACTCTGGGAGACCAAGACGAGGATTATGACGGTGGTCATCCATTGCATCTGTAGGGTTTCTGTTCCCATAATAAAATTCAGATTGCCCAGCAGGTGCCCACCTGGGCAGGTGGATCAGCATTGATTATATAGGCGTGCCATTAAACCAACCTTGGAAGGTTCATTAGAGCCTTGGAACAAAAGAGCCCCATCCATGGATCCATCCATCCATATTAGCTATGTGGATCCTAAAAAATCATATCAGCCAATAAAAAGCTTCCGAACTTATATCTTTCCCCTTTTTTTACTTCCCAGGTGCCATCCTTGCAAGGAATATATACATGGACCTTGGAATGACCACGGGAACTATAATCATCCTCGAATTGTGCCTCCGGAGGCTCCTGAGGCTTTTTCAAATCAATATGCCAGTCATATAGATTCATGAACCAGCTTATGGACTGTGATAAGGTTGGTATCAGCAGGGTCCTAGCGCTTTGCTTCCTTGCGGCCCTACTCGGTGGCGTATATATTATCAGTTCCGGACAGTAATGTTTCGTTTTATGCTCCGTTTAATTGATTGACCTTTACTATCTATGTGTTTGTTCCTCGCCAGCCCATCCATAAAAACACACGACTTCTTTGTAATCCTGATGGGTTATCCATGGATATATTTAGCTGTCAGTCCCACATATGCTGTCCAATTGTTATGTTGGAAACAGCTCGCGGGATTCTTGAAATATGATTGAGATTTCTAATGTCAACTTTCTACCCAACAGACTGCCTAGCTAAAGTTGAAGTGCAATGTACGGAGTACGGAGTACGATCGAGTTTGATGCCACGATACTCGACTCGAAGCGGGCCAACACCAAAATAACAATGCACATAGCTGGGTCAAGCTGAAATGTGCCGATAGGGTATATTATACATTAGGAATAACTATTATAATACATACGACACAGTACAATCATTCTACAACGCCCACTCTCCCATTCAGACCTGACCAAGGACCACTTGGCTGCTTCTCAATCCGAGACCCACCGCCCCTCGACATCCCCTTCGCGGAGCCAGTTTTGGATGCCCATGAATCCGACACATCTTGGTTCCCCCGACCCTCCAGCATGACCTCGTCGATGTCCTGGTTGAGTGTTTTACAAACGTCAGCCAGGGTCTGCCGGGCATCTTGCGCAATCTCAGTACCCAATGCGATCTTTTGTTGAACAAAGTCTCGTCCATTGGCAGCTGCAGCATTAGAGGCAAATGCCCATGCTTCAGCGAGACCAACGACCTCATCCGGGGTCTGATCGGAGGTCTGGGTCTGGGTTCGCGAGTTGAGAGGAGAAGTCGCATGATTAAAGCGCGGCTGGCGGGCGGGAGTGGGGTATTCGGGGAGTAGGTGGGATTCGTCGCTTAGACGATTGAGAGCGCGGAGGGTCGTGGACGTTTCTTTCGAGAGTAAGCCGGATAGATAAGATTTCTGGAGAGCCAGCGACTTTTGAATCTTAAGTAGCGGGACCAGGTTTTCGTTTGTGTATGACAGAACGTCGATTGGATTTGGTGGTGGCATTTCGGCTATGGCAAGTTCATTTTTGTTGGTTGGTCGTGCCTGAGGCTTCTGGGCCACATTAACTGGCTGACAAGCTCTGGAGGCGGCGTCGAGGAGATCTCGCCGGGCTTGGAGATATGCAGCATATTGTTCCGTAATCTGTGTCTTGCGATTCTCTAGCTCCCGCTGGGCTTCCTCGATTTCATGCGGAGGAAGTTCTTGGAGCAGACTCTCATCTGGATCCTCTTGACCAACCAGCCGTTCCTCCACCCATTGTACTAGCTCATCACGGGTTGTTTGTAATGCTTTCGCTTTGGCATCGGAAGTCTCTCCTCGGGGATCATGCTGTGCCTTGGCTTTCTCAAACAATTGCTTTTGGCGGTCCAATTCAGTTCTCGCGCGAATAACTGCTCTCTCGAGCCTATGCACTAGTTCATCCAAGTCTGTTTCAGAGCCATTGCGCCCCGCCTCTGCATCTATCTCCGGCAACAGCATTTGCTCCCCATCATTACCAATGTCCACCAAGCTGCCCGCATCGCGCGTTTTAATTTCCTCAAGATAGTTCTGAAACACTTGCAGCTTGGTATGCCGGCGTCGATCGCGTAGGAGGGCAAGGTATTCACGAAGTTCGGTGCCGGGCTCTTGCAGATCGGCATCGTCAGAAGGGCGGTTCTGGGACGTCCTCTGGCGCCTTAACGAGGTGACATTCTCAGACGCCAATGCGAACTCTTTGCGGGCCGCAATATTGGCCGCCAATGCCTTCAGATAATCTTTTCTCAGCCCAGGGAGATCGGTAGGGATACGTTTGACATCGGCAACAGCATCGGTCGAGGCACACAGGTTGATGTGGGATTGAGCATGATCGCTTGACTGATCGTCGAATTCGATAAATGAGCGCAGATAAGACGTCAGTGCCTGGCGAATTTGAACGGTTTCCTGGCGCGACTTGACGTAAGGAGCGAGCGGTTTCAGAATGGCTGGAATGTGGTCAGGGGAGTTGGGTCGGGCCATGGTTCCATTGGGTGGGGGCAGTGCTATGCAAGCTTAGCGATCTGGAGGGACAGGCTAAGACCTTGACAGGTCTTGGAAGGCTTCACTGCCACAATGAACGGTGATATTGTGAGGTCGAACTGGTTGCCCAGCTCTTTCGTCCACGGGTGGATCGCAGGCTTATGTAACATGCAGATCCATCATGGATCTCAGTCCTGAAGTGGAGCTTGTTGTTTTGCAGGGAAGTCGAGCATCTACCTAGACATGATACGTTGGGTGTGACGTTCTACTGGGGGCTTATAGGCGGAAGACGCCGATCAACGATGAATTGAGTCTATTATTGCCCAATTTACTGCGTACTAGATAGCTCCAATTGAGACATCCGATACAACAGGGGCCTGAGCACCAAGTCTACTACTGCGTACAATCTCCGTTCATTTGTATAATCGTATGGAGATCAACAGAGATATTCATGAGTTGTGCCATGAGACAGCTATCAGATAATTACTTTAGTGTGTCAGCCTTTCCCTACCTAGCTAAATAGAGTAGATGTTTCTATAACACTGGAATGTCACTATTATCTCTAAAGCTACGATGTACATTTACATCCAATAGATGCAGATTACGTGCACGGCCCAATCAAAGCGACAAAGGATAAAACATCTCACGGCAAGAGAGAAGCCCAACTTTTCGGATTTCTCTCTTGCCTTTCTTAATCCCCTTCCCGAAAGGAGCAGGCCTTTGAATACCCCCGGCATAACTGGTATGTTTCAAGAATCTCCCTGGAATTGCATCAAGGGGTGTTTTGATTCATAATTCCGGAGATCTGACTGTGACTATTATTTATCCCAAGGCTGAAACATTTAGTTCGGTCCTCTCGACTCACATGCCGACCGCAGGTGCGGAAAAGTAAATTTACCGTTAAATAATATCAGAACATACCTGTCGGCCATGGCTCCCGACTTGAGCGCTATTTCCAACTCTACTATGGCACGACCTCGTGCAGCAACAACGGCACCCGCTATGGCATCGCAGTCCCCAACACCCCAGCAACCAGTACATGGCCCTCATACTTCCGCAGCACTCCCGCCCCAAGGAAGTCCACCTCTCGGAACGGGGGATTATGGCATCACAAGTACCGCTCAGGGTAAGTCCACAGTGGCAGGCGTCACTTCGATGAGCTTCCCGACTAACGAAACAAGGGCCATTGCGTCACCCTCAGCCGCTGACGCCTTCGGATCTTCATCTAGTGCTTGAGAAAGAGCAAGAAGCGATGGTAAGTGGGATTCCAGAGCCCCAAAGTATACCTACCCCTCAATCGCTGACGCATCAGAAATTCCCCCAGGTGAATCGATTAACCCGTGAGCTATCTATTCTCCGCCAACAGACAGCATCCGTGGCATCGACAGCGTCCTCCACATCGACATTTAACGAGGCAGATGGTACACGGGCATCACCCACCCTCAGTAGCTCAATCCCGTCTCACTCCGCTCGACGGAACCGGTCGAATTCCAGTCTCAGTTCGCATACTTCAGCAAACCAGGGCCAGCAGTCCGCAAGTGTTACTGGAATCGCTCCCTCACGAGAAATACCGTATCGCCCGGCAGACCATTCTCGAACGGTTCGCAGTCGCGAGCCATCCCTCACATCTCGCCGACCCTCCATCGGGTCTCTATCCTCATTCTCCCACAATAACAGCAACATATACCCACACCGGAACTCGGTATCACAGTCCCAGCTAGGCCATTCACCCGGAGGCTCGCTGTCGCGGTTTGAGGAGGCCACACATCACAGGTTGGAAGTGGAATACATGAAACGGGAGAACGAACAGCTCAGGAGGCGAGTGCGCGATCTGGAGCGGACTTTAAAGAGGCAAAAGGATGATTCTGCAAGTGAGGCTTCTGCAACACCGTCTGAAAGAATCATTGATGCCTGATTCCACTTCCATTCCAACCCATACCATTCTTTTGCATTGCCACTCTGTAGACAGTGCCAATTTTTTCATCTCGGGAGGTTTGCAGGCAAACACATTCAGTGAAATCCTATTTTTGACATGTGAAATCCGTTTTTCCGGCAGCTCCATTGAAAATCATGTAGTCCAATGAAAAAGCTCAACAAAAGTAAAAGAAGCCAAAAAGAAATTAGCTATGTGAGGCGGTGCAGCAGCCCCGCCGTACGTCACCACGTCACCTGTGGCGCAGTAGGCCTCAGATAAATAGTCGCATCCCACCTGGGAAATGCTGTGACGCTCAGATTTCTTTGCAAGTTTCTTCTTTCCACTCTACCTAAATCATAATGTCTCACTCTACTGTCCACGTTTCTGGCATCTCGTCAACAACCTCTGAGAAGGATGTTCGCGACTTCTTTAGCTTCTGGTACATTGTCACAATGAGTACTTTACTTGACAACTTGCTAACTTAAACAGCGGAAAGATTGTCACCCTCTCCATCACCCCAGTCTCTGGGGAAGCTGAAGCTCAGAAGTCCGCCACTGTGACCTTTGAAAAGGAGGCGTAAGCTACCCCGCACGCAGTTTCAACTTCATATCCCGCCCGCAATCAGCCCACATGAAACCCAAACTAACCCAATCCCTAAAAACAGCGCTGCCAAAACTGCCCTCCTCCTAGACCAGACCCAACTAGGCAGTTCTGCTGTGCACGTCGAAGCAGCCCAAAACATCGAAGACCTAGCCGGAGCCCAAGCCACTGGTGCAGGCGAGACCAAGGAAGAAGAGCACCACATCCCACAAGAAGACAAGCCCCGATCGCGCATCGTCGCAGAGTATCTGGCGCACGGGTACGTTGTGAGCGACAATGCAATAATGAAGGCGATCGCCCTGGACAAGAAGCATGGAGTCTCAAACCGCTTCACGTCGGCACTCACAAACTTCGATAAGAAGTACAATGCCACCGAGCGCGCTAAGGGCATTGATGATAGCTACCAGATCTCCACTAAGGCGGCCACTGGCTGGCGCGGCCTGAGCTCGTACTTCGAGAAGGCACTGGGACATCCCTCCGGCCAGAAACTGCGTGACTTCTATGTTCAGACCGATAAGCAGGTCCGCGACATTCACGCTGAGGCTCGTCGTCTGGCGGATCTGAAGCAGGGCAAGAGTGGTGAGGGTGAGGGTGCTGCTGCCCCCACCTCTGCTGCTGCCCCTGCTCCTGCTGCTGCCGCTCCTGCTGCCGAGTCCACTGCTGTTACTTCTCAGCCCGAGGCTGCTGCTGCGCCTGTTGAGAAGTCCTAAGGGATCCTTGGGTTGAGGTCTTACTTTAATGTTGAGATGAATATTCGCGCTGGGCGTGTTTACTTTGTGTCTATTGCTTTATTCTTTCCCTTCTTATGATGCCATGCCATGCCATGCCATGCCATGTTCATATTTTATTTTCCTTTCTACCTGTGGTAACCTGAGTTTTGGTCTTACTAGAAGCGAGTCGTTGATAGCCATGGAGTAGTACCCATTAAGCAAAGTAAATGGACATAAAAGACTGATTCCACTCCCAAGATTTATTATATTGTTTTAACAAGTACAGGAAGATAGTTATTTGAGTTTATTCTTCATGATATCATTATCCAAAAATTCAAAGGAAAGACCCTTTCAAGTATGCGCACGAAACACCCCACCTCAATGTTGGTTTCCCTTGGCGAACTTCTCCGCCTCGATCTTCTCTAGCGGATGCTCAGGGTTGCTCGTCAGTACATTGTCCCTGAAGTACTCCGACGATTGCTGCGAGAACCCGGGTGCTGGGTGTCGGCCGACTTCGGTCTTGCCGGAGCCGGGGACATCCTGCTGCTGGGCGCCGGGCTGGCGCTCCGGATCGGGAGATTGGCGGCCGGGGCAGGGAGCAGACATTGTTGTGAATATTATATAATTGGATTTGATATGCTAAATAGAGCGATAAGGGTGAGTATCTGAATTGAAGTGGGGAAACGAAGTGTCAGATATGGTGATCTTGATACTACTGACCTTCAATGGATGTAGCCTTAGTGTTAGATGATGTAGAATATTTGGGTTTAAGCAGTAAAATCTAAGAAGGAACAGCGAGCTTTTTATTTCATTCTCGAAATTAACTGACGTTAAGCTAAACCGGTTATTGGAGTTCATCATGATGACGTTGTGGACTGCCACTTGGAACAAGGTGAGGCTCCATTCTACCTATGTACATATGCACGTACGACTACCAACCGAGGATGATATTGCATTGTTTTATCTACAACAACGGCCTACAATTTGCCTTTGAGGCCGGCCTGTAGAGGAATCCTTATATTTGGTAGTTATACGAGGCTGTATAGCCATAGATCCTTACTATAGGCCATTTCCTTCTTTGCTTTAGAACTACCACTTCTTTTAAATAGCGCCCTGATATCCTATGGCTCTAGAACTGAACTTGCCCTCTTTTGTAACATAAATACATGCCGATCTCCAAGTTCACTTCAAAAGTGAACCGCGCCGACGTCGGGATAATGCCTCTGAGGCATATGACGTCATTTCTCACGATCTTTGTTTTGACCTCACATCTTCTTCCTTCTGCACTCCTGGCCAATCCTCCCCCAGTCGCTTCTCATGTGCCTTCGGAGGCCAGTTTTGTGTACCTTGTTGGATGTCCTTATATATACATATGTACCTACATGAGTAAACTTGAAATGTTCTCGTAACGATGTGGATTCAGTTCCGAGTCCACCTATGTGGCTGGTATCTACGGTACTACGGGTTCCAGAACTGGAATCCAAAATTCGTAGCTTGGCTGATGTACTATATCATGAGGAAACAAGGGTGTCTTCAGGGGAATCTGTGCATCGAAGAGGATTAGAAGGGGGAGGGGGGAATACCCTCGAGCAGAATGTCCACGGGTAGGACTTTTAAGAGTACATCAGCGAGAGCATGACAGGAAAAAGACATGATGAAAGAAACACGGAGGTACAGAGCAGATGGGACATGATCTAAAGAAGCGGAAAGACATGAAATGGGCATATGGTCTCGTGAGGAAAATGTGGAAGGGGGAACTGAATAGAGACTAAACGTCCGAGGCATTGGAAATTCGAAGCTTTTTTGTTTTCTCGATCCATCTCGGTTATAGTCTCTTAGTTGCCGTTGGCCTGCATGCCCGCTGCGGCGGCGGCTTCTGCGTTGGCAGCGGCAACCATGGCCTTGGCGTCGGCTTCGTGGAAGACACCTTGAATGACTTGCTGCTCTTCGGGACCGAGAACCTTGGTCAGACTCTCGTAGAGCTGGGGTTGTTCTTGCTGAAGGCCTGAAAATGAGGTTAGCGGGTGATACATGAAGGAGATACTTTCGTAGAGGTCACTTACTCAACAGGACATGCTTGAACATGCCATATGGCTCCACCTTGTCCAGAGGGGTCTCCAGAAGGCTTTCCTCGTCCATGTCATCGTCGTCGTCATCGGCGTAGGAGCCGAACTTTTGAGCCTCCTGGTTGAGGAAGTCGAGGTAAGCGGCACTCTCGTCGACGACGTCGTCTTCCTCAAGAGCTGCTTCAACCTCGTTTTCGTCCCACTCAACATCTCCATCCCAGTCATTGTCCTCGTCATCCTCATCATCCTCGTCATCGAGGGTGAAGTCAGACTCCCTGGTAGCATCCTCGCGTTCTGAATGAATTCTTAGCCTTGGGCGAACACGACGGGGGGTTGGGGAAACGTACGTTTGAGAGCAGCAGGCAGGGTCTGGAAGAGCCTTGTCACACCTTGCAAGAGTCTCGGCCATCCCTGCTGGACACTGACGGGAACATCGGCAGCCTTTAGAGTAAGCAGTGAGCTGATTGCGGCAATTGACAGCTTCTTGTCATGCACACGTCTGAAGTTGTCGATGTTAGCGAACCAAGTGCTGAAGAACTTGTTGGTCCAGCCCTTGGCCTCCATAACCTGAAGACTGAGAGCTGAGTTGTAGTAGATGGCGTTGATGACCATCTCCATCAAGTGGATGCGGTACGACTTGGTGCGTGCCTCGCCGGCGTCGATAACCCGCATAGCCATCTCAATGAACATAGGGATATACTGGTCAATGTGACCTCGAAGGTTGAGCATCAGCGTCTCAGCGAGCTTGCACCCGCAGATGCGGTCAACGCCACCGACCTTCTCGTCAGAAAAGATGTCCTGTACCATACCGACCATAGCGTCCAGGTAAGCTGGGTTCTGAACCAGCATATCGGAGCCATAAGCGACGTAGTTGTCAAGGGCGGGGAGCATGTCTGCAGCAGAAAGGTCAATAGAAATTCAAGACTGCGTGAATTGATGTGAACCCTCTTACCTTCGAGATACAGCTCAGCGCCAGCCTTGAACGTCTTGTGAATCAGCTCGAAAGCTTCCCACATGGATGGGGAAATGGTCTTCGATGCGAACGTGCAGCTATCAATGATCTCGAAAATTTCGTTATAGAGATCTAAAACAAAGAATTAGAGCTGGACATAAGCTTAATAGATTGAAAAACTTACCATAAAGCTTGTTCTCCAAGGTGATGCTGATGACGGGCATCAAGATGGTCTCGAGGTGCAGAAGGACGTCAGGGGTGCTCTCGAGAGTGAGAATGAGGGTGCCGATGGTCTGCAACACGCCCAGAGCGGTGATGCTCTTGTCATCCAGGAAATCGCCGTAGCCATCTTCGTCGCCACCCTTGGCGGCGTTGCGCTCCAGGAGCTCACCAACAATACGCATGTAAGTATCGCGGAGCTGCTCGCTCAGCGCCACAGCGAAGGGAGTAAGCTCGGCGGAGAAAACCTCAACAAAGTCCTCCATGACGTTGGCCAGAGCATCCACATCGACCTCATTGGCCAACTTGAGAAGCTGCTGCATAATCTGGGGGATGTTCTGCTGCATAGATGTACGGATGACATCGTGACGGATAAGGGGCTGCAGAGCAAGGGCGGCCTCAACTCGTACGGGAAGTTCGGAATCGGTCATGGACTCGAGGATGTTTCGGTAGATAACCATGAGGTTGTTCGGGTCCTTGAAATCAAGTTGCTCGAACTTCTCCAGGGTGTCACAAGCACGAGCACGGAGGAAGCCGTGAGGACTGCGGAATTCGGGGAAAACATGACGGACGAAGAAGTATTCCACCTGGTCAGCAATCGGGCTCTTCTTGCCCAGGATGACGGAAGCAAGCGAGCCAATCATTCTCAAAGCTCCCTCCTTCTCCCTTGGCTGCTTCTGCTCCTCCGGCTCAGACTCATATTTGCTAACAACACTGTTCACGAATGTGAGAATGGAGAAGGTCTGCTTCTTGCGGTTCTTGGTGAGGGAAACCAAGAAGTTTGTGGCGGCAACATCAGGAGCGGACACTTCCTCATAGAGGTTCAACTTGCGGTGGAGATACTCAGATGGGTCATCTTCGAAAAGCTCAATGTCCTCGTCGGACTGGCACAGGATAGGGAAAACGAAGTGGGCGATCAGGTTGTCCATGTGCGGCTTCAAGTGGTCCCACATGGCCTTTGGCTTGACACACTCCTCCATAAAGACCAAAGTATATGATAGTGCGGAGTTGCTGAGCCATTGCGTCTTGGAAACCCACTTGTCAATCTCCGTCAGGTATCCCTTGAGAATTTCGGGGGCGAAAGTGCTGATAAAGGTCTTCGCATACGGTGTGTAGTCGGGGGTAGAGGATTTCGTGATTGTGGTGGGGTTGCCGTATCTGATGAATAGGCGGTTCAGGTTGGCGTATGACCACTTCTTGCACTTCCACCAGTGGTTCATCTCCCTCTCCTCCTTCGAATCTGCCATTGAGCTCGCAGGGGGTGTCTTCGAGACAATGCGCAGGAATAGTGTACACCAGTCGACAGTAGCCTGGTGGGTTTGTAGGCATGGAGAAAGCTCGAACTAAATTAGCAACAAGTCAGTATAAATGGCCTAGCCTCGTGCGGACTAGAATCAGGGCAACTGACATAAATTGCGTGTTTGAAAGCCTTCACCACAATACGAAGCATCTCCGCAGCCTCCAGGCTTTCCTCATCAACAAGCTTCGATCCAATGCTGAGCAGCTGGGGGAATGAATGCTCCACGATCTTATCGAACTCCTCTCTCTTCTCGCCGGCCTTAAACCTGTAAACCCGGCAGACCGCCAAAAGACACTGCAGACCAGCATAGACCGTACTTGCGTCGTTGGTGCTGAGGAGTTGCAGAGTAAGATCCAAGAATCCGGGCCACTGCTCGGGGAAGTCGTTTTGGAGAATCTTCTGGAGGAGGGGAACCAGTTGATTACGGACATTGGGAGGGGTCGAGGCGAGGGCAGGGATAAGTCTCTCCCTGAAACTGGGCTTTTCTGCTTCAGGAATTGGCGTACGCTGCGGGCTATCTTCGACGGGGGCCCATCCGCGGGTAATGCGGTTCTTCAGGTAAACACCAGCTATAAGAAAGAGCGGGGTCAGTAAGAGACAGAAGTTTTGCGAACCAATATGCACATCCAGAAACGTACCAGAGAGCTGGACCGCATTGTTCTGCTCGCCCTGCAAGATATCCAAGAGTCCATTGATAAATCCGGGTTGCGTCTCGGCCTAGATACATCGACCACGTGTGAGCCTGACGTTCGGTGCCCCGCCAGTCGATCTAGCACATACATATTTCAAATCAAGCTCCGCTTGCCGACGAATATCCGCATTCGCGTCTAGAGTAGACTGAATGCGATCTCGGAGGGCTGTGACATCCATCGCGCAACAATCCCCCAACACCAGAAAGTCAAAAAAATCTCCAAGTAAATTGAGAACCCCGAGGGGAGACGCGGAGCGGCGCCGATAGAAGACGGGTGAGGGGAAAGAGTCAAGGATTGAAAGGACGTGAATGTCCTAAAGAGATCGTATGGATCTTGAAGAGAAGGGAAGAGAGAAGATGTTGTTCTTCAAGAGGAGGGGGATTTTTTTCGATTTTCCCGACTCTCGGGAGGCGGTCGCCCCGCAGCTAATCAGAGGCCGCACACACGGATTTTCTTATGAACTATGGGCTACGACAAGGGTAACACTTGGGGTTGATTTAGTTGCTTTCTATAAGATATTATAAAATGTTCTGGGGTTTAAATAATCCATTTCAAATTCGATGGTTTATTTCATTTCTTCGTCTCGATTTACATACATTGCGGTGAATCGGTGGAAATGATAAATGACTACCCAATAGGGGCACAGGTATTGAACCGTATACCCCCTAAGGATTGGGTATCTTCACATGTAAAGAGAGGCCGCGAAGATGACATCGCGCTTGATCAACTCCTGAGCCTGCTGCATCTTAGTGTAAAGGGTCGGGTCGCCGACCAATTTGGCCGCATTCTTCACTTCGCGACAAGTCTCGTCCAGTCGGGTGATCACCCGAACAATAGTACCCTCCATCACGTCCGTGAGGTCTGTGATGCGATTGAAAGACATTCCCTTGGCCCACTCATAAACAACCTCGGCGAGACCAAAGCGTGGCGTGCTGGCGAAGTCGTTGGCATCCTCACTAGACTGAATGACTTGGTGCAGGATCTGGAAATCATTCACTCTCTCGGCGATACGAACGATCTCCTTCTGGCCCTTCTCCAGACGAGGAGTGAGGGTAGGGGTGCTCTCTGTCTTCTCCTGGAATACAAATGCGGAGAGGAGTGCAACAATCTCCTCCGGTTCGTATTCAGCAAGAACATTCTCGAGGACCAACTCGGTCAGTACCAGCTCGTCGGCGGAGTGAATCTCGCACGCCACCTTGCCCTTCAGTTGTACACGGGATTGCTCGTCAACAAAGCCGAGCTCCCTCAGCACGTGAATGCGCTGCTCATAATCCGGAAGTAGTTGAAGGTTTTGGTCCGACATCAGTTGCTTCAGCTCCGAGATGTTTTCTTTGACTTGCCACTCGTCGTGTTGCATCTCGAACTATCAGATATTAGTACAGGGTTCAGATTAATAGAAATAGAACACTCACGTGGTTCACGAAATCAGGGCATTGTAGACAGTGGCATGACTGAGCAATCTCTGCCTGAGCTTGTCGTTTGTCGAGGATATCGCGGATTTCCATCTCTTTGATACGTTGCCAATCGATTTCGTCCCAGGCCGTATCGATCCAAGAGCTAGTGTACTGACACAGTTCCTTTTCAGCCCACTTGATAGACTCTGTTCCCGAATTAGTATTTCTTGACTGTAGGTGCAAAAAGAAGTCTCTTACCTTTCTTAATGTTCAGATACCATATCGGTTTTGTGATCTTAACCAGGGTGTTTGTCACGCACTCGACATCGGATAGCGGGATCTTGCATATGCGAAGGCTCATGTCATCGACGCGATTGGGGAGTGGTTGGAAGTATGGTCGGAACATAGGCAAGAATGGAAGAATGTCGGTGGGGTGCCGCTTGCTTCTCAACGTTCCGATCTCAAGCACTTGAATGCAGGGCACAGCCCCGACGACTCCCGCGGAAACCCCATCGCGCGTGATAACACCAGCGGTACGCAGTCCGTCCTATCTTTCACGTCAGCATTTTATCAAACACGTAACTAGGTACAACATAATAATGGTAACCAACCTTGCGGTACACCACCAACCTCTTCATTGTGAAAAGACGTTTGCCGACAGGCGATGATAGCAGTTCAGCGTGGAATTCAGCTGTGAGCTTTCGATACTCCATGGCGGCGTTATGGCATGCAATCAAATCCAGGTCACAGATTTCACATGGTGCCCGTTTGATTTTCGCAAGACTGGCCTCAGATACCTGGACTTGCTTCTCCTGTTCCGGTAAGAGAGCTTGCGTTGCGTTTTCACTAAAACTCCGTTTGATCATTTCCTCAATCTTCAGGGCTTCCACACGCAACAGGTTCAATATCATGTTGTATGTGAGTCGGAATTGAGACCTGAGCTTTGTCGGGGCTCCAAGGATCATCTGTTTCAGCGAGGCAGCAGATGGCGCCTCGTCTTTTCCGCTGTTTGTCACGATAACATACCCCACGTTGTCAAGGCCTCTACGACCAGCACGTCCCGCCATTTGCGTATATTCGCCGGGCAGAAGATCACGGAAGCTTTTGCCGTCGTGCTTACGGAACCCGGAGAATACCACAGTTCGGGTGGGAAGATTCAAGCCCATAGCGAAGGTTTCCGTTGCGAACAGGACCTTTACGAGAGACCTAGCGAAGAGAATCTCAACAACTTCCTTCATTATGGGCAGGAGACCGCCATGGTGAACAGCAATGCCTCTGCTTAGTAGCTCCCGAAGGCGAAGAATTTGCGGCAGCGTGCGGTCCTCAGGCTTCAATCGGGTGAGTGACTTCTCAATGAACATGTGTGTCAAACTCTTCTCGTTCGCATTGCTGAAGTCTTGGTTTGACAGTGAATCCGCGTTCTCTTCGCATCGCTTCTTGGAGAAGACGAAGACACATCCCGGCAGCAAGTCTTCTTTGCGAAGATGCGAAACAAGATGCACCCAGGTGTTTTTGTCCTGGGCCGCACTGGTACGACCACCGCCACGGCCTGTGCGAGCAATGTTACCCGTTCCTCGGTTGGCATACTGTCCGCCGATCTGTCCCCGGCCTCGTGGCGGGCCTCCACGCTGTGGGCCGCCGCGACCACCTCTGACATTCGGTGGTTGACCACGTCCCCGGCCCTGAGGGGCTGGTGCCCTAGCTTGCGCCGACTGCGCCTGAGCTTCAGCCTCCTTCATGGCTTTGACCTTATCTCTACCGGACAGAATATCATCCGCTGCCTTCCAGCCGCTCTCAAGGAATCTCTTGTTGGAGTCGACGATCTTGTGCTTGCTCTTCCCGGCCCAGAGATAGTGCTCCAGCGGAACAGGTCGCTTGTGGGTTGAAATCACATATATGTCCTTCTTCTTTGTACGGCCCACCCATGATGCAAACTCCCGGGTATTGGGCACAGTGGCAGAGAGAAGGATCAATGTAACATGCTCTGGAAGCATAATAATAACCTCTTCCCATACCACTCCTCGTTCGAGGTCGTTCACATAATGCACCTCGTCGAAAATGACGAACTCAACGTCCCGGATAAGATCAGCGCCTCGGTACAGCATACTTCGCAAGATCTCAGTGGTCATGATGAGACAGCTGGCTTCCGGGTTGATTTGAACATCACCTGTCAGAATACCGACATCGTCGAATTCGGCTCTGAAATCACGGTATTTCTGGTTGCTCAGCGCTTTGATGGGAGACGTATAGATCGCCTTCGTCATATGTTTAGCAGCCAAGGCGATTGCATATTCAGCCACAACTGTCTTGCCTGCCGAGGTATGGGCCGCAACAAACACCGAATCGCCATTCTCAAGGTGGTAAACGGCCTCTTTTTGGAAAGTGTCGAGCTCGAATGGATACTCCCTGGCCATATCTGGAACCAACTCATTGAAGTTTGGAATATCCTTGTTGACGTCCACAACGTGGGCCCATTCTTTGCCCTTTTGTTTGTGGACGCCTGCGAGCAACTGGGTACGCGGTTCCAATGCCGGAAACTCAACCGGTAACAAAGCGTCAATGTCTTCTTCATCTTCCTCGTCGCTGAGATCATCAAGCTCGGACTGTGCTCCTGTATCGACATCGGCAATTTCCTCGGGTTGATCCACTTTCAGGTCGCTTTCCTCTTGGAGAAGGGCGGTTTCGACTTCTTGGGCACCTTCGGTAGCGTCTTTGGATTTGGCTTCGTCAAAATCGATACCGTTATCGAAGCCAGGGGGTGTCGTCAGAAGACCTCCCTCGGTGCCAAAGTTGATAATGCGATCGAGCCCAGATTGTTTTCCGGTGCTCGATTGCTCTGTGAGCTGAGCATCGGCCTCCATTGCTGCCAAGGACTCGATGGCGTCCAAGCCCCCGGGAGCGAATGGAAAGAAACCTGCGGCACCTCTGACAAATTCGGCACGGCCAGCAGGTCGGCGGAGAAGGGAGGTGGAATTTTTGGCTGTTGCACTTGCAGCAGGAACCGTGGCTTGATTATATCCAGTAACGCGTCCTTCCAGTCCCTCTCGTGTGAACCGAGTCACCGTCCGTGATTGTGTTGGGGCGAGTTCGAAAAGATCTGCATAATCGGTCGAAACGTCCCATCGTCTGCCAAAGCTGTTAAAAGCTGCCCCGCAATTGAAAATAAGATGCTTACCTTTGGAGAGTGTTCAGCCAGTTAGTACTGAATTGGTCTGATGGGGTTAGAAACTCATTTTCAAGCTCTGTCAGCAACTCTTGGGCACTCTGAGGAGCTTGCTTCCGAGCTTGGAAGTTCTCGATCTTGCCATCCTCTTCGTCCGCGAGACGAGCATCGAAAGCCGCTGAGTCAAAGGTACCGCCTTCTAGGGATAATTTCTCTATTGGGAAATCGAGTGAGTCCGCCATGGTGTGAAGCAATGTGCTGGAGAGTCGACCGGCGAGTGAAATTATGTCGATGTTTTGACTCGGCAGTAGCCGAACCCCACGCCGATATGCGTATCGATTACAAGTTTTGGCTGAAACCTAAGGGGATTGCTCTTTGACGTAAACAAAAAGATGTTAAACGGATAAACTTTACTCTGCCGGTGAGTCTCAAAGAGTGTTTCGAAGTTATTCCAGGCAAGATCATGCGGCGACAGGCTCCCTCCTGAACTTCGCCGAAAGACACTAAAGGCGGTATTGTCCGGCAGTATCCATGACGTCGACGCCTAGCAGATGTGGGGTGATAAAGTACGCAGGTGTACATATTAGGGCTCCATTCTCCAATACGAACAATTACTGACTTTTGTAGCGCTATAACCTACGTGTCTCAAGCTTGAATTGTTAATTTCGGATATGGGAAATCTACCCAGTAATATAGAACTTAAGTATTTCAGACTCTAATTTTTATCAGATACGGAAAGGTTCCTACGCAAATTCCGCACCGCGCAATGTCTCGTTCCCTCTATTTTCCCCCACCAGTGAATTGCTTCACTATACCACCTTCAATATATCGGTGTGACAGATTCCAACCCCTGGCCTTTTGGGAGAACAAGGTAAATGGTTACAGGGGATACATAAACTTCAGGTTTTCCCGGTCCGTCTTATCAAGATCACGATCACCAATGTGGACAATCTGGCCGCCAGCATCAATAACTTCATCTTTGTCAGAATCCGTGTCAGTTTCAGCGAGGAGCCTCTCTCGACGTTTGTTCTCTCGCTGTAGGTAAAATCGAATGATAATGCACATCATAGGTGAGATCAACCAGAATGCAGTCATGAAGGCCCAGGGTAAGACATAACGAGGTTTGTATTTCGATTGCCAGAATCTATATTACATATCAGCGCTATATTCCTTAGCTTGCATCTTTAGATTAGACTAACTCAGGGGAGATCATGTTCGCAACAGAAGCAGCCACAATACAAGAAGACATTAGACAGAGCTTCTTCGTGTACCCAGTTGTTGTCGTTCCAGCCCAACTGAGACCGAGAAGGTAAGATGGTTTGAATGTAGATATTTGGGTGCCAACTACCAGGGCCACCTTGTTTGACCATGGAGATGCCAGCTGAGAAAGAATTAATAAGACAGACCAGAGACGTAAAAAATACATTCGCTTACCTCAATGATGCCGCCAATAAAGCAAGGAATATAGGATATAGCACATGTGTATCCTGTACCGAGACGTGTACTATAAAGCAAGGTGGCGGATCCGATAATCAAAATGAATCCCCAAATTGGCTTGATAATATTGAACAAGGCACTCTCCGCTGGGGTGAAGCCAAACCCAACAACAATAAGCGGGAGCTGTTGGGATGTGTTGTTGGGGAGCTCGTTGAAGAACATGTGCAAGCTGAGAAGAACATTATTAGTGAATATGACAGAAAGATGAAGGGGACATGTCACACATGAATAGCCAACTCTTAAGGTCAGTAAAAGATTCCCGCACCTGCGACCACTTGAACGTCGAATTCGAGATTCCAGCGTGAGTCTCGCGAATGAGTCGGATCGTATGCACCTTCTCCTCAGTGGAAAGCCATTTAGCATCAAGTGGCGAGTTGGGCAAAAATATCAGTAGAGGAATAAAGATGGCGAAGGTCAAAAGAGCACAGATGATATGAAGCCATTTCCATGAGTGGATACCCCCAACTAGAACTCCCGACTTGTCATCAACGATGAGTTTATAGGCAATCATTGTCAACATCACATTTGCCATGCTTCCGAATGCCCACCATAGGAGCTGCACCCATGGACTCTTCTTCGGAGGGAAAAACGCTTGATGAAGGACGGCGGCTGAGGGGACAATCTGGGACTCGGTCTGCAAAGGTTAGCACATTATGAATCAAAGTTCATGAGGGTGTACTAACCATTCCCAGTAGAAATCGTACAGCCATCATCTGTTTACCGGTCTTGACTGCAGGATGTACTCCAAGTAACAGGGCCCAGAGGAACAACGACCCGGTAATAAAGTACTTGTGTCCAACACGTTGCGATATCCAAGCACCCGGCCAAAGAGCGACAAGATATCCTGCGTAGAACAGGACAAATAGATCATTGAACTCATTTTTCTTTTTCGACATATGGACATCTTCGAAAATGCCCATAGTGCTAGCCTGAGACAGGGTCGACTTGTCAAGGTGGATAAGGAAGGAGATCCACCATGTTTGGCTTAGGAGACACCAGAAGTTCTTGCGGACCAGTCTTCCCTCAGCCTCTGGAGTCAAAGGCCCAACCTTGTCCTTATTCGTGTTGTAGAAATACGTTGTGTCATCGGTTTCGCGTACGTCTACCACATGAGGATCATGGGAAGGTTCACTGCCAGATGTGGTTTGGACATCGGCCTCTCTCTTTTCGCTGGGGGGAGCCATACTCGAATCCGAGACAGTCACACCTTGCTCGGGCAACGTGTTGAGTCTTTATGAGTTAATAGAGCAGAATAGAATCTATCAGGATAATCAAGAGCTTTATCCCATCACTTTATACAACAATATGGCGTTTGTTGCCTTCAAGGCCGGAGAAAGCCGATGAGAGCCTTGGCTTTCCTCGAGGTTCCCAGCAGCCTTTTCCTTTTTTCCGATTTTGTTCGCCTATTGCGGCTGAGGTTAGTTAGCGTTGAGGCATTCGCCATAGCTTTTGTTTCGCCTCTGATGCTGCTAATGGTCCGATCATTAGGACCTTGAGCGCTAGCGAGTAACCTGCCAAGACACGGGTGACTCGTAGTCCACTAGGGATGTTCTGCCAAGACGTCTTGGTTGCATCGGGGGACCTTGGGAGTCCATGGCGTTTGAGCTTGTCAGGGCTTGTCGCGGCTTGTCGGGGCTTGTCTAGATTAGGTTCATGCCATATAAAACCCTATACGACCAAGACGCAAGGCTTACAGGATCGACGATCGCAATCTCCGTATGAATTCTCGTATTGAGGTCTCGGCCATTATGGAATTATTAAAAATCAACTAATCAAGTGACTACAAATAAACAGGGAAGATTTAGCTGTACGAAGTGTTGCGCGGTCCGCCGGGGCACTCCTCGAGGCCATTCCTTTGGGCTACTTCCGGACGCCAACGCCAGAACTTGCGCATGAAAGATGAGCTCTGACAATTATCTGCCGCGTGCTTTCTCCGACATTGGACATTACTCGTGGATAGTTAAGGCTCGGGCAATCCATAATGTACATTTATCTCCGAGGCGACAAGAATCATTCAACTCACAAGCTACTGTAGGGCTAGCCTAACCGGAAATCCAGTACGGCGGAGATTAACATCAGCTCGAGGCTCATGTGGGTTGTTAGCTCTCGGAAGTGAAAGTTACCGGGGTCAACTGGAGTGCCTTGACGATCCTAGTACCTTGACGGTCAACCGGGTACCTTGATGGTCAACCATAGTACCTTGACGAACAGCGCAGCACGAGCTGTGGTGGTCAGAGTTTACTATATATGGTGAGCAAAACTCTTTTCCTCTGCCATCTATCTATTCATCCAGTCGTCCATTCATCCATTCGTCATTCAAGCTACCTTAGGCAGCATTCCAGGTCACCAATCTTGACAATGCTATCCAATATCTCGAAGCTCGGTTTCATGACACTGCTTGCCACTCCAGCGGTCCATGCATTCAAATACCATATCAGTGAAACGAACGAAACAGGCTGCCAAGGCGCAGCTGCTGATTGCTGGACCACCAATTGATCATTGTCACCAATGATGACGACTCATGCGGCACGATCGACAGTTGTGCTGATAACGATGGCGGCCCATTGAAACGTGGCGAATCTCGCGAGTGGCCAGCCCAGAATGGACATCCGGCCTTCACTATAGTCATGAACAACGACGACAACTATGACTCGACCAGCTTTGGCGATCAGGTCGGCAATGTCAAATGGGATGACGGAAAGACCTACTGTCAGCCGGAATTACCCTTACCCCACTCCGTCATTTTTATATTTACTTTCTAGATCCAGTAGCCACCTGAGGCATCACTTGCTGGAGTACTCAGAGGATCGGCACTGCTTTATAAGCCCATACTGGGATAAATAGTCGATCACTTGCTGCTCTTTAGAATCCACACTCATTTTACCACTTGCTCGGTATAGTAAGTTTTTCGTATTAGTTCATATTAGTGTCCCTCGTTCGACACCTACCCCCTGACTGTTAGTTTTGGAGCTAGCTGCTCAGCCAGCGAACCCCTTGTCTCGGGTGGTGTAACCCGCACGTTGGTTTTTTCTAGCTAGAATGTCCTCTCGATATTAGGGGAAGACAGAGGAGGGAGGAATAGTGCTAAATGTACAGGGTAAAAGAGGAGGGGACATGTTATCTAAATAAATAGACACCTGATAGAGAAATATGGGTCTGCACGCGATCCAACTGCTCCGCCGCATACCGAACACCTGAATCTTTGTGTTCCCGTAGCTAGCATTTGAGCAAGAATCCAAGCAAGCATCATCGAGACAATAGTAGGCTCCAAGCAGATCTATCTGTACCTGACGATGTTGATGATATTGACAATTTCGGGAAGATGACACCGAGATCGCCCTGCGCCAAGCGATGGAGTCCGTTCGGGTCAAGAATCGGGAACGACCCCCATTTGCTTTCTGTGCCTGGGGAACCCTAACCTCCCACTTAAGGACCGAATTGCGAGACACAAAACAACCGGTTCACTTACCAGCCATTTTCTACGAAAACATGTCAATACTCCCTGGCCGGCCAATGGAGTTGAGTATAATGTCTGTGGGATGGAATTACTTGCACGAAAGCCGATCTTTTGAATCATGCCAAAATCTGCCACGGAACTGTCGTGCGAGGTGAACTCAGGGGAAGCTAGCACAAGAATGCCAACCAGCTATATTCGTGTCATAGTGAAACAGTGTCATCCAAGTCATTCTTAATCATTGTCGATGATTTTCTAGTACAGTACAAGTTTTGTTCGTTACGATGTGCA